TGTTGGTGGATTATTATTTTTTTTTTTTGGTTGTTAGATTGTTCTTAGCCCTGCTGTAATTTGTAAATGTTGGATTTCACGTGCCGGGTGGGAGGAAAGCCAGTGCTATTCCGAGAGAGAGGCTTTAGCCGGGATGCTGCTCCTCACCTTGTCTTGTTGCATCTTTTAAAAGGCAACTGGTCATTGTGTAGGATCCGAAACCTAATCCAATATATTCCAATGTGCCCCGTTTTCATCAATTTTGAGCACTGTTGCCCCCACTGGTTGTTTGCTGGCCTGGTTAAGGTGGGTCAGTGGCTTCTGTGCTACTGCTCACGCACAGATGCTCATGTTTCTGTAACTCCTGGGGAAAAAAAAATTGCATCCGCTGACAGTCTTTATTAAACTGCCAAAAATAAATGAATCTAAATAGCTTTTTTACCTGCAAAAGTCTGTAGCACACAGGAGCAGAAAATGTAGGCAGTCTCCTTATCTGTTTCTGTAGTGATGACGGAGAGGGGACAAAGTGACGACAAGAGGAGGTGGGAAGTAAAATAAGTCTTCAAACATTTCCTTTAAAAGTGTTTTTTGCCCTTGTTTTTTAAGGGTTAGTCTTCAGCCTTTTAACAAGCAGCACACCTGTAGGATTCCACATTCTCACCGCCTTGATTTGAATGTTATTTTTAAATATATTTTTCATACTGAAGCCCGTTGGTGGGAGAGCTGGTGTGGGTTATTATCCTGCCACGATAATACACGGCAGCAAACTTGGCTTCTAAGTTCAGGCGTGTATTTCTGTGGGAAATGTGGGAAACCAGTGAGGAGGAGTATGGAGTACCACCTGCCCCATCATATAGGTCCTGATGACTAGGGCTGACAGCTGAGTAGTAGTGCCTTCAACCCAAACCGCTGTGTTTCATTCTACTTGCCTTTTTTGGGGTGGGATGGTAGTTTTTTGGGGGTTTTTTGGGGTACTGGTTTGAGATTTTTTTGGTACAATAGGTTTTATATCCCGAAGATTGTCTTTGGAGCCACCACAGAGAGTTGAAGCGCTTGTTTTCAGTGTGAAGTGTGAGATTTTCATAGATTTGCTTGTTGCTAGGAGTGGGAATTTTTAAGTAAATATCAAATAACAGGAACTTTATGCTTTAAGCCAGTAGAGTTTGGCAATGTTGAGGGCTGTGTGTACCGATAATCTTCAGATAATGCCCAAGTGAATTTCCAGTGGTTTCCAGAGGTCTGATGAGTGAGTTAGCAATAATGAGTCAAAGCTATCTTTATATATATGGGTAAGGTATATATCACTTAGTGAAAGTCATGACTGATGTACCTGCTTTCAGCTCATGGGCTCATACCATTCATGTGAGTGGAGAAACCACGATGGGACGAGAAGGATCCTGTTGTTGACGATGAGCCAATTTTCAGTTAAGGAGCTGTTGAGGCTCAGATGATTTTACCTGTATGCTTAACAGCTTTATTTGGAGAAAAATGCCTTGGGTTTCACTCTGGCAGGGTTTGGTCCTGCCTGCTGCTGCCTGCTCTTGGTTAAGAGTGTGCTGTTTGGCCTCAAAGCCTCCTCGTCATCTTCTCTTCGGAGAGAGGATGTGTTGCTACTCACTGGAGCGTAAGGATTTCAAAATTCCTGCTTCAGTACGTGATACCTGAGGCCATCAAAACATTTCCTGATACGTATCAAAAAAAGGGCTTACTCTTCTGGGTTTTGTCAGATGTCTCTTTGTTTAATTTTGGATGATGGTCAGCTATCAGTTGTTCATTGAAGAGACCTTTCTGATGCCTGTGCTCATTTTTTCTGTTCTATGCTTTTTTGACATCTGTTCTTTCTGGGTATAGTTTTTAAGCTCCTGCATTAAATTAAGTGTATTCCTTCCCACAGACTTTTCATGGAATCTGCGTGGTGTGTGTTACAGGAACATACATGACCATACACAACTTCTTCCAGCCCTTTCTCTTTGAGCTCTGGCAGTAGTTGCTCAAGCTTGGCAGTACCTTCAGCTTTAAAGTTAAAATCCTGTTAATAAAGAAAGCAGTTTAAGTAAAAAAAACCAAACAAACAGCGTTTCCATCACATCCCACAATATATGCCCAGCACCTGAGTCTTATAAATTCTGTACAAACAGGTTATATTTCCATGAAAGTGGTTCTGCAGATGGCTTGGTGGGCACCTGTATTTTCTGTTGCGTTGTGGCGTGCGGTCCTCAAGTTGCTTTAAGGAACTGGGCTGAAATTTTGCTGCAAGCTCTCGTAGGCTGCTTCTAAGATCCCAACACCCCTGTGAAATTTTTGCTGGCTGGCCAATAAAGGTGGTGGGTTTCTCCTAGCAACGACCTGTGCGGTTTCTACCTGAGGATGAGAAACACAAGTGCATTTGTTCAGCCTTTTGCGTCACTTCGGCGCTGAAGGTTTCGACAGTCAAATCATCACTGACATTCCTGTTGATGTGCAAGAAAGAGAATAATCCAGTATGTTTTTCCATAGCGGTGCTGTCACTGCAGGACTGAGAATAGTAAAAAGTGCATTCATCACTGAATAACCAGATATCCTGGAAACGCGCGAGAAAGAGACGTATTTTCAATCAGAATGTCTGACTCTTAGTGGCTATTTTCTGACTGATTCCTCTTTGCTATTTATACGCTCCCTGAAGTATTTTATAGAAACCCGAGTCCCTTTGAAAACCCACCCAAGCAACCAGAAAGTGTATTTTACGTATTGTAGTATGTAAATGATTAGTCATCGCTTGTAAATTGCCTAATGGAGGAGGAGGAGGAAATTTATATTGAGGAAGGTGAAGAGCTGGGTTGTGACTGCTATACGTCTCGGTTCTTCCTGCCTTCCCCCTCCCTCCCCCCGAAGATAATCGTGAAGGATTTTTTAAAAGAATCATCATCCTAAGAAACATTGTCATTGCGGGTTTGAAAAATGATAGCTGCACGCTGTAAGCCTATTTTCCACTTGCTTATGTTTTCTTGGGGAAATTTATGGGTTTTTTTCGGTTGTTTTAATTTAAGATTCTGCGGTCTTCCTGTACATTGCCAATGAAGAATGGCGTTGGCAATTGATCTTAAGTGTAACAATATGGGGAACTCAGTTTATGAAGAAATACGTCTTTGGTAAAGCATGATAAGATTATGTTGAGCATCTGTGGCACAAGAGCAGCAACACTGTTTATTGGAGCCTTGGCAGAACTCTGCGCTCGCTGGATATGATCCCCTTTGTTTGGTTGGTTTGTTGTCTGGCTTTTTGTTTTGCTCTGTTTGTTTGTCTTATGAATAGTTAATTCACGACACATGGCAACGCTGAAGAATCTTGAGGTTATTTTTTTTGTGCCCTGATTTTGGGGCAGCTATCTATTGTTTAGTGAGTTTTGGAGGGTTTTGATTTGCAGCAGTCTGTCCCCTGGCTGGGGCTTTGCTGGGTGAAACTGTAATACACTGTATTTCCTTGGGTTTTTTTGCTTTGTGGTTGGTTTGGTTGATTTATTTATTATATTTTTTTCCCCTATCTCTCTTATGGAATATGAGGGAAAGCGTTAATGGAAGGATTAAAAGTTTTTAAGTCAGTGGTTTGTTCATTCTCTTCTCTCTGAGTATTGGGCTCCATGAGATACATTTGCATGTGCTTGAGCGTTCAGGCATAATTTTCCATATTGTCCCTTTGCCACTCCCACCATGATCCTATATTTGTCAATGAGATAAAATTTATGAGAATATCCTGTGATAAATACTGAAAAGCAGGTGGGGAAAACATACTTTGTCTTCCACTGTAGAGATGTACTTTGTATTGTGCTGTACAAATAGAAACACTTTTTTATAAATCCAAATTTGCAGACTGGCGGTGGGAGTTTCTGCAACTGCCTTTCTGCACTCGAGCTCCCAGAGAGAGCAGGACTTGATTTTTGTGATAGCTAAATTCCAGTTCTGGTGCATGAAATTCAGCTTTTTTTTCTTTTTTGACATGCTGAGCTCCAGCACGCTGCCACGTACCGTACGGCAATTGCATGTGCAAAATCCCATGTGCCGTTTAAAATATGCCTCAGAAACAAAGAGTCTGGTTTGGGTCTGGGTTTTGGTTTTTTTTTTTTCCCCCCCTTCCAAGTGGAATGATAGGTGTTTCTTTCTGTTTGCTGGTTTGGTGTGTTTGCAGTGATTGCTTCACCTGCCCTTCATGTGTGAGCCTGGGGAAGAGGTGCCAGGTCTATGGAGGCAGTTCAGCTCACGGCCATGGTTTTGCAAATCGGCCCGACTCATCCCCAAAACGCTCCTTTTCTCAGGTTCATCTGGCCAACACAATCCTGATGAAAAGCATAAATCGTATTGTTGAGGCAACTCATTCTTCAGGTTTATTTTCCAAACCCTAACCTGGAGTTCTCCTTTTTTCCCCCCTCTCAAAAGAAGGTTTTCCTGGTGGCCATTGTTGAGGGAATAGGATTCCTTCCTTCTCCTCCTCCCATTCCTGGTCATCTCAACTTTTTATTCAGTTTATTAAATGAACATCTCAATTAGCTACCCTGGAAAAGCAGGTCACTTTCTAAAGGCACCCACCTAGCTTCTTTTTTTTCAACAGTGTTTGACTGTTGAAACTCTTATTGGAGCAGAAGCCGTAGTTCAAAAGCGGGCGAGTCCTTTTTCCTCATACCCTCATTGATTTCTGTTGAAGCAAACAGATGAGCTTATATATATAAATATGTATATCTGCTTTTTTTAATGAGAAGTGCTAGAATTCACTAAAAAAGGTTAGAATTGAAATGAGTAATCTTCAGTGCATAATGCAACTGTTAATTTTAGCTCCTTGCGTAGGAGCTGTTATGACTTGAACAGCCGGCTCTAGCCTTCATTAGAGAAGAAGCAGGCAGTTTTGAGACAGGTGGAGCTGGATCAAGCTGTGAAAGTGATTTGCTCGAAGCTGGTCATTAGTGTTAGAAATCTGGTCCCTCTCTATTGCATCCTTACCTTGTCCCATGATTGCTACCCTTGCTTTTATTTACTTCTCATCTTTTTTTCCAGGTTGACTATGATCCATCACGCTCCGTGAAGGACCAGCATGGAGGTTGGTGCTTTGAACTGTTAATGGGGACATGGGACTCACGTCGTCGTTGATCATTTGTGTGGACTCCGCCAACGAAGAGCACCAGAAGGCGCTAGAAAGACAGTGGGAATTATAGCAGTTTTTCAGGTAAATGGCTTCTTTCCTCCTGATCAACGATGAGTGTCCTTGGTTTTGAGAACACTGTGTGAGCACGTAGGTGAGCTGCGGGGGGGTAACATGCCCATGAAGAACTTGTGCATGTATGTGTGTTTCTTGATGTGAATCCATATCAAATTAAGGGTTGTTTAACAGTTTCGGGTCTTGCCCTTCATCGTGGGTTGAATTTCTAGCGAAGCGTTCAACATTTCAGTTATAAATGAGAATGGCCAATACCATGGGACTTCCTGGGGAAGGGCGGTGGGAGGAAGGAGAAGAACTTGAAGCTCAACTTGGCTTGCTGTCAGCTAATTTGTGAGCTTCATATTCCAGTTGGTTAAGGAACTGTGTAGCTTCATTTCTTGTGAAAGCCACAATTCTTCTTAAATGGGAAGATGATGTGGGAAAGGTTTTATTATTTTACTTGCTTTCAGTGTCAAAACAAAAGCAAAAGTTGGAGGAAGTAAGTTTTTATTACTTGGTAGGTCGGGTTTTTTTCCCCCACTTAAAACGTAACTTAAAAAAAGAAAGGTAAGTGATACCAGATCTGTTGGACATTAATTACAAGCTGTAAAAAGAAACATGGCAAAGTGTGGTTGTGCTTAATAGCCAGTGTTTCATTGTTGAGAAATGGCAAGGTGTTGCAAACGACCCCTTTCTGAAATAGCTCCCTTTCTCAACCACAGTTGTTTTTCCTGAAGATACTTCTTAAACCAAATGGATGGGGGAAGGAAAAGTTAAATTATTCATGAGTCTCATTTGACAATTGATCAGTGGAGGAGGCTTCAAGAGGGAGCTGGGGGTAGAGAGAGAGAGAAAGAGAGAGAAAATAATAATAGGCTTTAACTTGAAAAGCCTTTAAAGCTTCTGTACAACAACCCATTGTGAGCTGAGACTAAATGCAGGTTGGTTAAGATATCTTCATCAGAAATACCTGCCAAGGGTTTCCTGTAGGATTTTCATCGTGTTGGAGAGTGACATGGGGTTTGGGAAGAGGCTTAGGTTTTTAATAATGGAGCTGTCAGTTTGATGCCTGGAAATGCTGACCGTGAGTGCTTTATTGCCAAATTTAGATTTAATATTTATATTGAATTATGACCTCTTCAAATATCTATATCTTTGAAATGGTAGTGAGCACCATGAGCTTCTGCTCTGTACAAAACCCATGGCTGGGAGCTAAAAAGGGTGTTGTTTCTCACGCTTTGTTTCTATTTCTGTGTTTTATTTATTTGTTTGACTACTCTTTTTTTTATTTAAAAAAAAAAAGAAAATGGGCAGGGGAGGGGGAAATCAGGAGGAGGGGAGCACTGAGATGCCAAAGACCTGGAATTCTGAATGGGTCCTTCCTGCATGGTGCTGTTGAGCTCTGTAGCAGAAAGTCCCTCACCATCCATGCAGTCCTGGGGCTGGGGTGGGAGAAACAGGAGGTTGCAGGACCTTACCTTAAATCTGCTCCCCAAGACTTGTTTAACCTGACACTGTTGTGCTGGTCTGGACAGCCAAGTATTGTCGATTCAGTACATCTCTTCAGTACCTCTTTCCACTCCTGAGCTGTGTATTTTAGTTTGCTTAACAAAGGAAATTAAATGACTTGGGAATTAAAAAAAAAAAAAAAATCGTAATTTTAAAAAAACCAAACAGATAATTCACCCGTAGTGTTTTTGTGTGTGTTTGTGTCGTGATATCTTGACCTTTCAGGTCACCAAATCTTGTTATTTTAATTTCTGTCTGGAAGAATGTCTGAGCAAGGTAAATCAAACCAGGAGACAGCAGAGGAAGCTGCCAAAGAGCAGGAGACTGCCATCTCTGAGGGGAACATGGACAACTGTATCCTTAATAAATCTGAAAGCTCGGAAGTGGAGGAGAAGGAGGAGAAGCTGAGCGATGCCAAGACAGAGCTGCAGGTAAGACAGGAATGGTGAATCTGTGTGTTAAATATCAGTGTGCTACCATTGTCTTTGCATTTCTGTCTCCTCTTTCTATGCCTACGCTTCTATTTTTCCTGTCTTAATTTTGAGACTGTCTCTTTATTTATTTTTTTTTAAGACTGTTTATTTTTTTGGTTTTTTTTGGGTCCTTTTACCTCCCTATAAAATAAATGCTGTTATTTGTTATACCTTTTAAGCTCTTTAGGCTGCTGTCCCTGTTATTAATTTTTCTGAGAAGTTAATTCCTAGACATCTGTGTTAAAGCTTGGTGAAATATTTGGCTGTTTTCCCTCTTTGGGGATTTAGAAAACTACCTTGATCTCATGAATTTACAGGTAATACTTAATGAATAATTACTTAATGTGTGGTTTGGTTTGTAGGTGTTACTGCCAACAAAAAGTTGTTATGCAAAGCCTAAGAAGGTAATTTGAAAAGAGGACTTTATTGGATGAGGGGGTTTTAATCCTTTTTGCTCAATTAAATATAAAAATAAAGGGGGAGACTACAATTTAAGAGGAATTTGGAGAGGGGGAGCGTTTACTTAAGTATGCCTTTTCTTACATTTTTATTATATTCAGAATTGCAGAAAACTGCACAGTGTGTTTTTATTGGGTTTTTATACCTGTTCTTAAAAAGAATGAAGTGAGCAGAGATGATTCTTGGTTTTCCCTGCTTTCCAGACTGGGTTTGGGGAAATAGTTTTTGCAGTCAGCAACTGTTGAAAATGCCATTTAGGAGTGCTTTAGCCTCTTTTTTTTTATTGTTAATGCTCTTGCCATGCATATTCTCCACTGAAGTGATAACTGCTTCTCTTTTTTGCTCTACCCAGAAACGAGGTGCAAATCAGAACCAGCAGAAAAAGAGATCCAAGGTAAGGGTCCATCTCTGTTTGGAACTGCATGCCATGGTAGGATACAGAATTTCAATCAAATGTCTGTCTGCAATTGAAATTCTGGCCTTTCATCACTCGTGTAGTGGTTGGGGGTTCTTTTTGTGTGTTGTTTTTTTGTTTGTGATGGTTTGTTGGTTTTTTTCCCCTCCCCGTTACCCCATAATCTTGTTGCTCAAAGGCAGAGGACTTCCTCTAGATAGAATGTGTCAGGCTCCCCTTTATTTATCCTTCATACTTTTATGGTGCCGGGGTCGCTGTGTGCTTGTGTTAGACAGTGTGCTTGTGTGTGACACTGGGGATGGAAAAAGCTCATTCCTTTTGCTTTAGTAATTAACATTTTTGTTTGAATTTTATTTTAACGGACTAAGCTTGACATAAAGAAGCAGAGACTGGCTAGCTCCCTAAGGAGGAGGGGAGAGGAGAAGGAGCTTCTAGGAATGACAGAAAACCCTGAAAACCTTTTAATTTTCCAAGTGCAGATCCGTAAAACTTGCCCATTTTATTGTCCATGTTCATTGAATATAAAACTATTAGAAGAAAGAGGGGAAAAAACCCAAACCACAAAACAAACAAGCCAAAAACCCAAACCTAAACACCAGAATGAACCTTTAGTTTAACGTTATGTTAAATTAACCTTCAGCCTTGGATTATCTAGTCTTTGCTGTTACGTTTTTTGGTGGGAGTGAGTGAACTGTGGCAGAAATTATTAAAAGCAAAGAAACCTACCACCTCCCCTGCGTGGCAGATGGCTCGTTGCATAGAATCCTCTTCTGCGTGCATCAAAAGGCAGATAGAATTTTGCTGGCTGGGGTGGGTAGTAGTAATTTGGGATATTTAGGGAGAGCTGATGTACGCAGTTTATGTGACTTGGGGTCAGTAGTAGTGTTCTCTGTTTTGTTTTCTCTCTCTTATTCAGTCAGGAGCAAAAGGAAAACTCGTCCGGAGTCTTGCTGTGTGTGAAGAGTCATCCCCTCGCCCGGGAGTGGAAAATATTCATGATAATCAGGTACACTTGGAATCATTGCTCTTAGCTGCATGGTTGACCTCCATGTTCAGTTGCATGATTATGTTACTTAATTGGGCGTATTTAACAAAGTCTTTCTTGGGGGAAAAAAATTACATCTGACAATGAACACGTTTTTATGAAGTTGTCTGGTTTAGCGTGAACTTTATTTTGCAATTTCAGTTTTATACTATATCACAGGGTGTTGTTTGCTTTTTTTTCCAGACCCCCTGAAAATTTCAGCAAATGGAAAAGAATTCAAAAGAATTCAGATTTTAAAATTTAAAAAGATAGTAACAATCAAAAAGAATATTAATATATGTTCTTTTCTCTAAGGCTCTCTCTTTCGAGGCTGCACCAGATACTGTTATGAATATGCTCTGGTTTCTGGTTCCTCTGAGACTCCAGTTCATATCAGTGTCCCCCTTCACATAAAATTCACAGGTCTTTTGCACTCTAAAATACTTTGTTAGAGCCAAGGATGCCTCCTACTGAGTGACATTCATTTTCTAAACTCTTGGTGTAGATTTTCCGGTATCAAAAAAGCGTGTATTTGAGTTTATCTGTACTGGTGGTGTTGTATTCCCAGTAGCTGGTAGAGTTCTGTCCCCTGCACCTCTCACCTCGGACAATAACACTGGTGACAGTCTTTGGAGGCTAACTTCGAAAAATATCCCCCCAAAAACGAAAGTAACAATCTCAAATGCTCTTCTTCGCTTGCCTGGTAAGAGCAAGGCTGAAAAACCACCCCCCAAACCAAAATACCATGAGCACTGCCTATAGTTTATGAGATGTTTATGTGCAAAACGAGATCAGCCATCGAGAGAGCTCGAGCAAGTGACTTCTTGTGAGCTTAGCACAATATCAAAACATATCACTTTTAAGTGTACTTTCTCACCATTTCCTCTATTGACTTGAAACGAAGCAAATCCAGCTCTCCTCTTAGCTCCTAAGTATGGAGAGGATTTTCTATTTTTGTAAAATATATATATATATATTTTTTTTTTTTTTTCTTGAAAGACCAAAAACCAGGTTGTTTAGCAGGGGGACGTCTACATGTTCTGCTGCTCTACAATGATGCTTATGCAGTGGGCAGGCAGGTGATTTGATCGGTTGTTCTGTCGTGGGTATTACTCTTTCTGCTTAAACTTGCATTACTCAAGACGCGTGGCTTTTGTTCTGCTTTCATTTGTATTTCCTATTGTTTAATGGCGAATGGAAAGGAGAATTAATACAAAGAGATTGTATTAAGCACCGCATGGTAGTTTATAATGTACTGCACAGGACCTGTATTAAACGTCAGAGAAAACTGGCAGGTTTGGAGGTAAAATCCCTGTCTGGATTGCACCCCGACGCCAGGCAGAGGAGGGGTTCCTGTCCCACGCAGCCTCTGGTCTTACCAGCCTTGGCCCAGCTGCAGCAAAGGTTTCTTTGACCATATCGAAATGTTTAGGGGAGATAAAATACCTCCCTGGACCGACCCCTGCATTCGTTTCCTCCCGACACAATTGGCTCGGTGTGATTAATTAGCTAGGAATTGCGCTTCTGCTGTGGCAGGCGTTTTCCTGATGCATCTGGCTCAGCTTGGCCACGGAAAGCTGGAGACCTGCAGGCTCCTCCTTGGACTGGCTGAAGGATACAGGAGGTTTTGTGGCCAGCCGAATGGCTTTGCTGTCACTTTAGAGGAGGAAAAGCTTCTTTTCGGTTTGGATTTTATTTTAGTTTTTAAAAATCGTTATTTTATCTTCATGGTTTACAAAGCACAGGGAATCGATTACCAGAGAATGTACGGTACATTGCCAGAACTACTGAGTATGGATTGTACTGCAGACTTGATGTTTGTATTGATATTTGAATACTTGCCTTCATTTTCCTGTATAGGGAAAAAACTTGTTTACCTGTATTACTTGACCTTGAACGCTTACCTGATGGTTCACTATGTCCTTACTTAAAAGGAATGTTGCCTTTAATGTTATACTATTGACCAAGAAGTGTATTATTGCAATTTGAACATCTATTTTGTTGTTCACTATACTTACCTTGTATCAATGTATTTATTAACATTGTATTTTATTATTGAGAAAAACCAATAAAAATCTAAGAAAACATACAGTAGCTTCCTTTCACGACTCCACAGCCCTTTTGTGTGTTTCTTCCAGTGCAAATATAGAAGTGCTACGTTACATGTAAGACTTAACTACTGTACGTTCCTACGTGTGGTTATGTGTAAAGTCTGTCGTTTTTTTTCTTTTCATAAGTGCATTTTAACCTCTGTGAAAGTTAGGATTAACGTCCTGGGAACAGCATGGCCAGTTACATTTTTCTCCTGTTCTGAGAAGGCAGCAGCGCAGTCGCTCTGCTCCAGGCAGCGCAGGGGATCAGAGTTATCCTTCGGGGGCTTTTTGGCAGTGGTTGATCCAAAGTTTGTTGCTTGAATGAGAAATCGAACTGCCCTTTGAAGTGAGAGAAAGCAGGCGTAACGTTAGCCCTCTTGAGCACAACCCAGCAGGTTAGCAAACGCTTTTCTACGCATCCTTATCTCAGATGACCAGGAGTTCCCACTCTCTCCCTCTGTATGCTCAGTTTTTGGCCAGTACTGTCAGCCAAACCGAACAGAAGTAGGGATTAAGGATGTAGTTCAGGTTAAATTTTGGCTCTAGGGCTCTGTTTCTCTTTTACGGTGCTTTTCATCTCAAGTCCTTTGTGCCACGTTCAAACTTCACAAAAAGTCAATACTGATTAAACTGAAAAATTGCCGAATTTCTGTCTTACCGTGGCATGTTTATGCTGATACCTTGTTCTGTTAGGATCTTGTCTTACGTGTGTTGTGGTGGCTGATTTGTAGTTCTTTAAAAAAATTCAGAAACCTAAAATTTGTAGTGATTATTGAAAGTACTGTTTGAATTCGTAATGGTCTGGTTGCTTAAAAAAACAAAACCAAAACAACCCTAACTTTAAAGTTTTGTAATGATCTTTTGGTATGAGAAATTGTGACAAAGGAAGGGAATTCACTAGCATTCAAGAAACTCTGATTTTCTCCAGTATTGGTGAATTTGGTTTTCATTAACATGATGCCAAAAAATTATCAGGCATGCAGGACTCTCTTCTGTGAAAGAAACCTGCGTTACCAGGGAGTTTTGTGACGGCTCAATTCAAATTTTTACACTATTTAAGCTTATAGTATTATTTTGTCCGTTTTTTCTTCAAAGGAGTATGAACACAGAATTATGCTTCCTTCAATCATGTCCAACCAGATTGGTATTTCTTGAAATATATAAATTACTCCATGGTAACTTCTAAAGAAAACAATTTGTGTTTTGTTACAACAAAGCCAAAGTGAAGTAATGTTGTAAGTGGGAAATAGCAAGTTCTTTAAAGCAAATCAGAAAAAGCCAACCAGCTTGAATTCTCAGTTTTAGTTGAGTTTTTAAAGCTGAAGCGTGCTTTCAAAGAGACTCATAGTCTCTGAATTTTGGAAGATAAAACTTGTGGTGCCTTGGAGAAGTTTCCCACAACTTGTTTGAAAGTCGCAGTGCACTTTCACCCATTTTGCTAAGGGCATATTTGCATATGTCTGTAAATATAAAGTACTTGATAGGTTAGTAAGCCCTCTTGTATACAACTGAGTCTATAATTTGCTGGGACTCTTCTACTTTCAGAGCCTGAAAGCTCAGTCCAGCTGACACTGCGCTTACATGTGCAAAACAGTTCATATGAACCTGCAGAATTTTGTAAGGAGGGGAAAAAAGTTATATTTTTTAGACATGTATCCATTAATCAACATTTAGCATGTGTAGTATTGATTAAATTATAGAATTACTAAAGAATGTTACACTGTTCTCGTAACTCTTAAGTGAGAACTATCAAAGTGTAGAATAACATAATACCTTTAATATAGGTAGACTAAAAGTTTACAGTGTTCAAATATTAGGGAAGAAACACACTTACCACTAGAATTTGGCCTCTAGGGTGCCATTATTCTCCTGGGAAAAAAAAAAAAATAATATTTTTCAAATAGGAAAGAAATGTATCTGGCTTCAGCTTTTCTAGCTACACATAGTTTAACACAAGTCTCTGCAGGTTGGAAGCCACGGTAATCTTACTGAATCTGGCCTTAAATTCATCTTTCTTTTTTTTTCCCAACAGGAATCAATCCAACTGCAGCTTTCAAGTTTTCCCAGCTTGCAAGAAGAAGATAAATCTAGTAAAGATGACTCTGAGAAAGAAAAAGAGAAGGATAAAAATAAAGAAAAAGAGAAAAACAGTGAAAAAACCAAGATCAGAATGTTATCAAAAGGTGAACTTAACAGTAATTATAGCAATTCAAATATTTTTCTGAAAAGGATTGTGTGTTCTCATAAGCATGTATTTCTTTATTTGTATACAAATACACAGTAGAAATAGTTTTATACATTAAGAAAATTCAGAACCCGAAACATGTATGCATGGGAATGGTTTTTTCATACAAACTCAGGCTTTGAAAGCGAAGAAACCTTCCAAACTGAGGTTCGATATTGGAGGTTATTAATTTTCTTTAATATAAAGTCATTCTTCTGAATACTTAACCGTGTTGATACAAACACATATATATGCAAATATATGTGTGATTATATAATAAGATAAGTGTAAGACTCTAATATGCTTTTCTCCATTACTGATAATATATTAGCATGTCATTTGTGCAATGTAGGCAGTAGAGAGTAATCCTCTGTGCTATTGCTCCTTTCTCATGGAGAATTTCTGTTCAATGCTGTAAGGAAATCCACCCATGGCCCTTAACTTGCATTGCAATCTACAGTTAGCCTTCTTCAGAAAATATTTTTGTATCTAAATATAGTATTATTTTTTTTTAAAAAAAAAAACAACCTTTTTATTAATCCATGGTACCGAGTTGCAATGTAATCTCTTAAAAATAATCATTGCCTACCTGGGTGTGGATCCGCAGCTGGTGTGAATTGTCAGTTGGCTTCAATGGAGCTCTCACAGTTCACGCCAGCTTGAGGATCTGTGGGTGCTTTTGAGTGAGGCGATTACAGCAGTGCTGAAAAATTAATTCTGACTAAAGTCACGCATCCCTATTACCTGCCCACTCTCAGGCGTCACTGGATTTCAGTCTCTTAACACAAGTAGAATTCCCCCCGGCACGATGCCTCATTTTCCACGTGTGCAGCATTTTATTAAGAGGTGCAAAGAGCTGGTGATGAATAAAACTTTTTTTTTTTTTTCTTTCCTTCATTTTTTAAAAAAATTTATTTAGTAGTTTAAAGGAAGAAAATTGCAAAGGTCTTGAGGGGCATTGAAGGTTTCCCATGATTTTCAAATGATCACTACTTTCTGTCAGCGTCTGGTTGTGCTGCTGTGCTCTCAGTAGAACGGTACAGAGGGATGGTGAATATCCACCCCATGCTGAATGTAGATCTTTGTTGGCTGAACTCCAAATGAACATTTTCTTTCAGACCGTACGCTTTCAGATTGTTGCTGGAAAATGGATTTTGATTTACGGCACAGCTTAATCGTGACTGCTCAGATGAAATAAATGAGGGGGGTGTGTGTTTGTTTTTCTCTTTCAGATTGCAGTCAAGAGTATACAGACTCGACAGGCATAGATTTGCATGAGTTTCTCATTAACACATTAAAGAATAACCCCAGGTAGGTGTTTTCTGCATTACAGCTGAAATTGTGCTCCTGAAATTGTAGCTGGCCATCTCTGAGTTCCCTTAAATGTATACTGTGTTTCATTGGTTCTGGAGATAGTTATGAGGGGAAAACATAAAGGAGGTAGGCTGTTAATGGAGCAAAAGGCTATAAAAAGTCATCAACTTCTACCCCCCTGTCCGGTCACCCATTGCTTAATTTCACTTTCAGTGACATACGGGCTTTGTCCTTACCTTCCTGCATATAGCTTTCCATGATTTTAGCAGTAATATATTATAACTATTGCAGTTGGAGATTTGTGTAGGAATATAAAGTAGCTTTCTTTTGGCAGTGGTGTGCACAATTAAAATCCTGTGTACAGTGCCAAATTCTGCTCTCCATATTCCCATAGTTTTCATTTGGAGCAGCGAGCTCGTTTTAACATTAAATTTGCCTCTGAATGTGTAAGGAAGGGTCTGTACCATTTTTACATGTTGTGATTTTCAGCATTCATTTTAAACTGAATCCATTAAATGGGTACCATGTAGTTCTGCAATTGCAGGAGAGCTAGGAATAATAGGGCGCCTAACAGCTTGCATGATCTCTTGTATAGATGACATAAGGTCCTTGGATTGTTTTGTCTGCGCAAAATGAGAAAGTTCAAAAGAGCTAAGGAGTGATGGACTCGTGTCAAGCTTACAAAAAATTTATGTGGGAACGTGCTGGGGAAATTTTTGAGTGTTTCTGGGCAGGGGGAAGGGACATCTGAAACCTTCCAGCTGAAAACAGAGCATTTTGACTGAGAAATGCTGCGGCGTTGCCTCCTGGGAGCCGTAGTTCAAAGGCGTTGTTCTCCATTGTGCTCTCTCTAACTAGATGAGATGTGCCCAGTCGTCTCGCCTGCAGATCAGTGCCTTGTGGAAGATCTGTCTCAGACAAAATTTCTGTGGTAGCAGGTCTCCTCATGAAAGATCTAGCTTGGCTGGAAGTCTCATTTTCCATCAAAAAGGGTGAAAAGAGACCAAAGCTATCCGTAGCAGTCAGAGTCTTTCTCTACACAAGGCATTGATCACAGCCTGGTGGGGCTGGAAGCCCTCTCAGACCATACTTCAGTTCAAGGAACAGCTAAATCATGTATGTCAGCGAAGGGGCAGCAAAGCAAGCCACAATCTTCTCCAGATGCACCAGGGCAAAGCATGTTTCATTTTAAATCGAGATGGCTGACAACACTTGCAAAATTGCCTTACAAACATCAGCGTTATTCCTTTTTTTCACCTAATATGTCTATTGGTAGTTGATGCTACAAATCCTTGCGTTTCTTTTTGACAGGGACAGAATGATACTCTTGAAAATGGAACAGGAAATTATTGATTTTATTAGCGACAACAAGTAAGTCGAGTTCCCCCACTTGGTTATTAAGTCACGCCTGCCTGTAGCGATGTGAGCTGTGTGAGGGATACGCTCCTGTGGACCACAGGGCTCGTACGCTGCAAGGCCAGGCTTTTGTTTCCTGACACATGGTGGTGTGGCTTAAAATACGGTTAGATGCAAATTAAAGCCTTTTGCTTTTCGTTACGTCGTAATTTTTCAGTGGCTTCCAGTGGCTCCAGTCATTTAGGTCCAAAAATATCAGTCAAGCTTTCAGTGCAGAGGATGATCAAATAGGCTACCTTTGGGGTTTCCCTGGGTGCTCTGTCCTAATGCGTTGGAAAATAGAGCTGACCTTGAGTGGAAGGGGCCTAGGGGTGGACAGACGGCTGAACGTGAGCCAGCAGTGTGCCCAGGTGGCCAAGAAGGCCCAAAGCATCCTGGCCTGTGTCAGGACCAGTGTGGCCAGCAGGAGTAGGGCAATGATGGTCCCCCTGTACTGGGCACTGGTGAGGCCTCACCTCGAGGGCTGTGTTGAGTTCTGGGCCTCTCGCCACAAGGACTTTGAGCTGCTGGAGTGTGTCCAGAGGAGAGCCACCAAGCTGGGGAGGGGTCTGGAGAACAAGTCCTATGAGGAGAGGCTGAGGGAACCGGGCATGTTTAGTTTGGAGAAGAGGAGGCTGAGGGGAGACCTCATTGCCCTCTACAACTCCCTGAAAGGAGGGTGTAGAGAGGTGGGTGTTGGCCTCTTCTCCCAAGGGAATAATGCCAGGAGCAGAGGAAATGGTCTGAAGTTGGGGCAGGGGAGGTTTAGGTTAAATATTAGGAAGAATTATTTTGCTGAGAGGGTTGTCAGGCTCTGGAACAGCCTGCCCAGGGAGGTGGTGGAGCCACCATCTCTGGAGGCATTTAAGAAACATGTAGATGTGGCTCTTCATGGCATGCTCTAGTGCCAGAGATTGTAGGGGTTTTTGTGTGTGTGTGGTTGGACTCAGTGATCTCAGAGGTCCCTTCCAACCATGAAGATTCTGTGATTCTTGCTACCACATGCTCTTTGTAATAAAAGGTTTCTGCAGCTTTAAAAAATAGAGAGTCAGAATAGAAGCAGATAAAGAAATATTGCTGTCGGGAAACAAACATTTTTGTCAGTAAGAGAGGAAAAAAAAAAAAGGAATATTTACCAACCTAGATCCTTCCAGTGTCACCCTACATCTGGCCTTTAGGAGAAAGGAAGAAAGCTCTTGCCCATGCCTCAGCAAATCTGCAGGATGGTTTGTGTGAGGAGCGTGAGCGTGTGTCAGGTTTGGGGATAAGTTCTCCCCAATGTATAGAATATTCAGTTGATACCGTGAAGCGTGAGCTTGGTTTGTCCCAGTGAAGTGCGTAGAAATATGCTTATTAAAAACTCAAAATATAATTCTTTTCTCTTGTCTGCCTTTTTGTAGCAAACACTTCCATGTAAATGCACAAAGGAGAATTTTTCAGTTAGATTTCTGTCCACTGAACTATCAAATGTATTGCTGTTTTCATTTCATTGTAGCTCAGAGGGAAATGTAATTATCAATGCACTTTTGTTTTGCTTTTTCCAGTAATCACTATAAAAAGTTCCCTCAGATGTCATCGTATCAGAGGATGTTAGTGCACAGGGTGGCAGCTTACTTTGGGATGGATCACAACGTGGATCAGACTGGAAAATCTGTAATTATCAACAAGACCAGCAATACAAGAATGTAAGCAGCAGCACTGTTGTGTTTGTCCTTGTTCCCTTTCACAAAAGCTGGTTTGTACCATGACTGCCTTCTGTATTTTTTTTATATATATATATTTATTTATTTTAATTTTTTTTTTTTGGTAACAAGAGTGAGTGCTTGGGGCGGGAGGGGAGGACAGGTCTGGCACTGTGAGGTTATTTGAAGATATAAAGAAGCGTCAGGAGAAATCAACCCAATGTTTCTCTTGTAAGAAACTCAACACAGTATGTTGGAATGTTACTTTCCCTGACTCCTTAGTGCCACCACTTTGCTACAGAAATGAGCTTGTTTCTTTAGGTGTCACCTGATACCATATGGTTATATTCCTAAATAACCCCAACATATTTGGAAGATTGCCTCTTCCCTTGTTCTGGCTCTCCCTGCTTCAAGAGTAATTTTCTGCCCAACCTGATTATTTAGGATTTAGTTCCCCTCCACCATCTGCCACTACTCGTTTCCTTTTCCTCCTCTTTTCCCCTCCTCGTTCTGCTTTATTTTCTCTTCAGATCTCATCGTTTGACCGCAGAGATTTTGTGGGATATAAATTCCTTCTGATGGTTCAAATGCATTGCAAAATTCCTGGCAGGTTAACCTTGTGCTGGCATGCTTTATGCTCTCCCCAACCTGTATGAAGCTGGCAAAAGCTCGTTTTAAGTTCCCTGGCTAATTGAGCAAAGATGCAGTGGTGCATCCTTGCCTGATCAGCATCACTTGTGCTGCTGAGTGCCACGTGTGTGTACACCATCACGGAACTGTAGCCTTCCTCTCCCTCTTTACCTATGAACTACATAATGAAGAGGAAGTAATTACAGCTGGGTAATGAAGTTTTGGTATCTGGTATTGGAACAGTAAAGACCTATTTGAAAATTGTGTGCTTCCTGTATTCAGTTAGTAGGAGAAATAAAACCATTTATTTCATTTACATATCCCGTAGTTAGGTCATTTACTTAGATGGAGTTGCAGAGAGTTGGGGTTTTTTTAACGTTATTAGCTTCTCCTGTAGAAGACTAGAGGGACTACTTAATATTGCAGCAACAAAATCTGAGCCAAACACATTGGTGTTTGTTATTTCACTGAGCCCTAAAAGTCTTCTATGTGGGAAGTAAGCTTAAGATCATGGACGATTTATTTTAGATCCTTTTCAGGGCTGTTCCTGAGATACTTGGACATCTGTAAAACAACACATAGACATTAACGTGTTTAAGGGGTTGAATAGAGCTTTTCAGAAGGCAGCAGAATTACAGTGGCTCAACAAAATTAATGTTCCGGCTCCTAAAGCTCGGCCTCAGGGTTGGTAATACCTGCTCCTGTGCGAGGTCTGTGTTTGGGTATGAATAGGAAGAAGCTGGGTATGCAGCAAACCGGTGTTCATTTTGGAGCTGCAAATGAGAGAACAAATAATTAGTCTCCTCTTAAACAAAACACAATCGGTCATATTTGAATGCTTTTTAGGCATTCCCCTTTCTTTACAGTTCTCCCTTTTCCCTTCACATCTGCATCCCCTCTGTAGTACACCGACTGCTACAGATCTTTCCTCACGGCATTGCCTTCTCCTGGTTGACTTCATAATGTGATGATATCACATTAATATCTGCTAAGGCCTTGCTCGGTTGTGTGGCTGTGCATCGCAGAGGTGGGATAGCGCTGGAGGTGCTGTTGGAAATGCTTGCACAGTGCTTCTGGAGAGGACGCTGAAGTCTTCTTCAAAAGTCAAGACTTTGTCCCAGTGCTCTGGTGAAGCTGTGGTGGGAATGACCAATCAAGGCTGTTTGCCAGGCATGAACTGCTGTCCTTGTGTGTGAGCTCAGCAGGCAGGACGTAGCAGGGGTGTAATGGATGGAATGACCCTTTCAGCTGTGGTCTTACAAGCTGGAGGTGAGGCACGGAGCCAGACAAATTGGTTCTGACATCGTTCCTGGGTAGATCTTCCAGAAGTAAGCACAGGACTTCTCCCTCTGTTGACTGGGAGCACAGCTGTTTTGTGAGCACCACACAAAATGCAGATTTTTCTGTTCTGCAGTGATTTAGTGATAGGGAACTGGATTTTAAGGAGCTCGTATTGCATCGTGGTGCTTCCAGTGTGTTATTTACATTATTTTGATACTGCTGTAGAATAAAACCTTGTAGAAGTAGCTCTTTCTTTTCATACCTGGAGGAGATGGCACGTTTTGTTTTGTTTTTCAAATGTCCCTGGCTCTGACAGAAAACAGATTGTTATTGTCCAGCATCAATAAGGGCTGATGAGATTTTATTATCCGCAGCAAATACCGCGTGTGAGTTCCACATTTTGAAAGCTTCCAGTGTGATTTCATGTGTTCTGCATTTCAGTGCTCTCAGAGGAGACAATTTGGTGCGGTTCAAAATCAACACGAAATACTGGGAATGTGTTGACTCTATTAATTACTACTTGGAAAGTATCCAGCGTACCGGAGAATCTGGAGAGCGGCTGAAACGCTCTTCAGCGTGGTTATGCCGTGCTGTAAGCCTGAGCTTTGATAGTTTTACACAAATTTATGGAGAGGGCCCCATAGATGGATATTCTGAAGATTTGCATGTGGACAATGAAGGATCTCTTTATGGCATATGGTTTCCAAAGCACTTGAGCTGCGAACTGTGGAGAGGGAGGAATATTCTTGCATATTCAAGAATTGATGAATTCTGCAGACTTCAGTCTGCGTGTGCCTGTTTGGGAAGAGCATACGACTCTACATAGAGTTGCCCCGTGGGCTTGAATAAGCACCATGTGGCTTATTTCTCTGGCTCATGTCCCATCTCTGGTCGCACTCGCAGGCGACTCGTTCCCTGGCTCCAGGCAGCGAGTTGCATTTATTCGGTTCAGCAGAGACCTCTCGTGCTCCCTGCCCGTGGGTGCTTGGAGGCACAAATCTCAGGAGAGTTAACAGCTTTGAGATGAATGGGCTGGTTGGGAAAATCTGGAAACAACCCTACTGTAGAGGTACCGTGGTACCGAGTAGGGTCTGTCAAACAGAGGACTAAGGTATGAATGGTCTAGAAGAGGGCAGTTCAATTCTTCGATCAATTGGCTGTCTTTGGGCAACACGTGTCCACCTCTGTGTAGCTGTGCCTACAAAGAATACCTAGTTTTTGAGGGCTTTGAATTTGAGAAGGTGCTTATTGAAGAGGTTGCACAGCTGGAACGAGGGCTATGGCTTGTCTGATCAACCAGGCTGCTTTACAGAGAAGTGAAGACGATGGTAAAAATGTGCTAGGACTAGAATCTCTCTAGGATTTGCAGTCCTGGAGCTCTAGTGAGCTGTTGGTGAAGTCTCTCTTAATAATACAGTCAGACCACAAGGACAGCTTTGCAGTCTGAAGACTATATATGATGAGGAGCTTAATGTAAGGTGCCCTTTTTTATAAATTTGATTGGAACGTGAAGAAGTCATATTGTTCTTGAAGCTTTTTTTATGAGGTGAAATTTTAAAACACAGAGGTGACCTCAAATGTCACCAAAACTACCCAAATGTTTGTTAACCCTCATAAAGTTAAGTCTCTGTACTCTAGCTCTTGTTATGGAATAGTGGATTTTAAAAACAAATTATCTTTCCATATGATTTTTGACATTAAGACTAGGTTAAAAAGAACAACTTCAAAAAATAAATATAAGTTTTCATGGTCTCATATCTTACAAAGCCCTGTCTAACTAAATTGTCCAACTTTAAAAAAATCTTAGCAGCACACATGAGAAATGTTCATGAGAAAACGAGGGAGGTTTTTTGCTGCTGTTTTTTTTTGGTTTTTTGAGTCAGAGAGTTCAAATACTTCTTAAAATGGGAAATCTGCTTTGAAACTGCTGTTGAGTCACCATTGTAATGTATGTTTGCGTATATTGTCGTTTGTGTCTGCCTGTCTTCTATCTAAAGATATGCTGAAATGTAGGGGGAACTTCAGGCAGTGAATTAAGATATAATCAGAAGTTTGGAATTGAGGCAATGTGGTGGGGCATCCCAAATTGGAGCAAAAAAACACGTGCCACCTTCTATTCCACATGTTCCTCCTAATTCCTGTCAAACAACTGGAAGTACTTCAGAGCTTTTTTGCAGAACTGTTTGTGTTATTGCACATATCAGTTCAATCAGTTTCATTCATTTAGTTATCTCGTAGGTAGGAGGAGAAATATAGGGGAAGTATGTTTGGAGTGCTGGGTTTCATCTGGTTGAGCTCCTTGCCCGTGTGACAGGAAACGAGAAGGGGTTTGATCTGGTTGAGCTCCTTGCCCGTGTGACAGGTATGTCTGTACCACAGCCCACACAGGCATTCGTGTACATTTTTATATAAGCATGAGTGGCAGGGCTCGTCAGAATTGAGAAGGTGGAGGGCTTAGAATATATAATGGCTGCATTTAGACATTTTCATACATCCTGAAGGCGTAACATACCTATTACAAACCTAATACCACTACTCACATCCTCGCTTATGACTAAGTTGGTTTGATTTCAAGAGCATCATGAGTTATGATCCTTGTAATACTTGTTCTTCTTCTTACTCTTAATATGTAAATGTTAATATAATATTGGCCCAGTCTTGAAGGTTTTTTGGTGCCTTTGAGATGCGTGAAAAACTCTGGGCAATACTAAGATGTTATGTGTGTTACAGGAATTTCTTATAACCTAGGAATTAGCAGAAGGAGACATAATGTACTGTAGGTACTTTGGGTAGCCTACAAGACCTTTGTAGCTATGAGATAAAATCTGTGTTATTCTGTCTCCTCTGTGTAAGGATGGTTTGAATGATGATCTCTAGAGATCCCTTCCAACTCGGACAATTCCGTGATTCTATGAATCACAAGCAGAGACAAAAAGCCCCTATTAGGTTTCTATTGTGTACACGCCGAGTGATCTTGTTGCAGATCACATCTATGCTAGTAGAGATGGGCTGGGCCACTTTCATTATCTTAAGATAAGAATCTGGACTTTGGTACAAGATCCTACCAACACGTCAGTAAAATGGCATACGCT